GAGAGCAACTTGAAAAAGCTACCCAGCATCAGCCTCTAGCCATCACAGCACACACACACACACACACACACACACACACACACACACATACACACACCACACACACACACACACACACACACACACACACACACACACACACCACACACACACACACACACACACACACACACACACACACACACACACACAAACACACACACACACACCCCAGAGGGGGAGGCTATCATCTAGTTCTAGGTGACTACAGATAACTAATTTCACTGTATTTCTGTCATGGTTTTTCCAAAGTTCAGCATCTGTTCCAGCATCCTTTTTCCACATGGCTCCAGCCTCCATCTAGTGTTCATTCCCAGTCCCTCATGACCTGCATGACTGCTACATTGTCCAAAAGAGCTTCTCCTTCTGGCCTGCAATGCCTTTTGGGAGGGAGTGTCCTTCTGAGGCCATTGCTCTTCAGAAGCTACATAATTGTACTCACAATGAATTTGTTCAGTGAATTAATGAACTCTCCCACCCATATGGCTCATTACTTTGTCTACAGTGGTTTTTTTTCTAATTGTACATATTGTCTCATAGGAGATACAAAATGGACTCACAAGAAAGGAGAAATAAATTACCTAAGTAAATCTAGAACCTAAAAGTAGTGCATATTCTACAATAGATTGTAGCAGATGGCTTTCCAATAATAACTAGCTCTCCTCACCTTCTCATAACAGGAAACGGGGAACAAACAATCTCAAATTTTTCTTCTCATCAATAAATGAAAAGAAGAATCAAAGAGGGAAATCAATGCCTTCTGTGAGCTAGCTGTTAGACCTCATGAGATTAAAAAGACAGTTAATAAAAACACATTTGCCCGGGGCTGGAGAGATGACTCGGTGGTTAAGAGCAGTTGCTGCTCTTGAGGAGGACCCAGGTTCCATTCTCAACACCCATATCAAGCAACTCACAACTACCTATAACTCTAACTTCAGGGCGTTGGACACCTTCTTCTACCCTCATGCACATACACAAAAATAAGTAAATCTATAAAAGCACTTTTCACGGGTCCAAACTGGTGATTTAGACGGCTGAGAAATGAGATGTGGAAACAGTCGACATATCTTAACGTTTTTGTTCTTAGTATGCAAGTGTATTTAAAATGTCCACTTCCAAAGCATTGTGACATTTGTGGCCAAAGTGCCTGTCTTTGATGCAACATATGCTCCTAGGCTTTTTATCTGTTATTTCTTTGACTAGTGGGTGACTTTCAGCAGCTTTGAATAATGGATACCTATTCTTCCACAGTTTCCACAGCTTAGCTGGGTGCCTCTGGGTTTCTCAAAAGGCTACCATACTTGTCTGCTAGGACTGCCCAAGCAAGAAGTTAATTTTAAAGTAGAAAACATCAGCCAAGAGATTAATTAGTGCATTTAAAAAACCACAATAGTGAGAAGAAAAGTCAACGATATTCCTCAATGCAATATTATCTCATTAATAAAACTGAAAGGAGTATTGCGAATGTTTATAAATCTTCAATACATGGTTGATTCTGAACAAGCAATACCCATGAGAAGGGCAGAAGAACAGAGCTCCCAAAATGAGTGGTGTGCAAATCCATTTCACCCTATTACTGTACCCTGTGAGTTTAGTCCCTCCTCCCTAACACTGCAACCTCCCTCCAGTCAATAACCTCTCGGGCCCTCGGAATCATAGGTTAAAGAAAAATAATTAGTGCCGGGTGATGGTAGTGCATGTCTTGAATCCCAGCACTTGAGAGGTAGAGGCTACATAGAGAAACCTCATGTAAAAAAAAAAAAAGAAAGAAAGAAGAGAAAGAAAGAATGAATGAATTAACCTATTCAACTCTACTCTCGCACTCCTGGCCTCATGCTGGCATAAGGCATAGCTCTAGCTGCTTTGGTTTTACACCATTCTCTTTCCTGGACCCTTGACCTCCTCCCAAGCTCCCTCCCACCTCTCGCCTTTCCACTAGTCCTCTCCTGTACCTCCTCATTCTCCTTCTCCATTTCCCTTTCAATCTATTTGGGCTTTAATCATCCCTCTTATTTTATCTTTTCCTTAGACTGTGTTCAGACTGGATAAGGTTTACAAAAGCTCCTTGAACACTAAACTTTCCCTTAGGAGTACAGGGCATGTAACATCTCATTTCTCAGCCCTCTAAATCGCCAGTTTGGACCCGTGAAAAGTACTTTTATAGATTTACTTATTTTCATGTATGTGCATGAGGGTACCTGTGGAGGCTAGAAGAAGGTGTCCAATGCCCTGAAGTTAGAGCTATAGGTAGTTGTGAGTTGCTTGATATGGGTGCTGAGAATGGGAATGTAACATAGGCACGTAACATAGTTGATAATCATGTATTCATTTCTACTAACTGTTTAAGATCTGTCTTTCCAACTAGTCTACGCTCCTTAAGGAGAACAAATGTGTCCATCTTGGCCGTAAAGATGTCCCCTTCATCCAGTGCCACCTGGCACTAGATACCTAATAAATAGACCCCAGGCTCCTCCACAAGTTACCTGGCCCTATCTCACACTCTAAGTAATTACAGGGAAGCAACTGTAGATAGTTATGAATAAGATGTTTTAAAGTTAAGTTGTTTAGCAGGACGGCCAGACCTCAAGTACTGGTCCTCATCACTTTCACTGTTCCCATTCCTGGGAAATCTTGGTTTCTGGGATAATCTTGCCCAATGAAATTGTCACTGTGCTGTGGTTTGCAAGCTTCCATCCCTTCTAAACTCCATGTCAAACCTAATCTCCAGTGTAGCAGTACTAAAAAGTTCAGTTAGGGACAGGTGAGTGGATAAAAGGGCTTGCGCTACAAGCCCGAAGACCTAAGGTTGATCCCTGGAATCCACCTGTAGAGTCAGATGTGATTATGGCATCTGAAATCTCAACACTTCTATGGCAATATGGGGGATGCAGATAGGAGACTCCTGGAAGCTCACAAGCCAGCTAGCTCCACAGAAACAGCAGAGGCTGCCTTGAAAACAAGGTGAGTTGATTATGTAGGCTCCTCTCCTGAATAGAATTGAGCTTCTTTTTTTTCTTTAATATCTTATGAGTTCTTAAGGAATTACATTTTAACTTTATTTTCATGCTTTTAATGTCAGTACCATGCTGTTTTTATTACTGTAGCTCTGTAGTATAATTTGAAATCTAGGGTACTGGTGCCTCCAGCAATTTCGTTGTTACTGTGGAGGGTTGTTTTGTATATCCCAGGTCTTTCGTATTTCTGTATGAAATTTATGATTACTGTTTTCAATTTCTGCAGAGAACTGTGCTAGAGTTTTGATATTGAAAATATTGAATCTGTAAATTGCTTTTGGTAGGAAGGCAGATAACATTTCACAATGTTAGCCTTGCCAAACTATGAGCATGGGAAATCTTTGTATCTTCTTCAGTTTCTTTTATCATTGTCTCAAGATTCTCATTGCACAAGTTTTTCACATACATGTGAAATTTATTCTCTCTCACACACACACACACAGTGTGAATTGTAGGTTGTCATCGTTGTTGAGGTTACTGTGACTCATACTGTTTTCCTGAGTTCTTTCTTGGTGTATTGTCATTTGTGTGGAGCCTGCTGATCTTTGAGTTCATTTTCTCTCCTGCTACTTTGCTGAGTGTGTTTATCAGCAGTAGCCATTTTCTGGTAGGCATTGGGGTCTTTTATGCATACAATCATATCACCTGCAAACAAAGCTACTTTGATCTCTTCCTTTCCTATCTATATCTTCTTATTCTCCTTCACTTGTCTTATTGCTCTAGCTAAGAGTTTAAGTACTATGTTGAACAGGAAGGGAAAGAATGGACATTCTGTTTTGTTCTTGATTTTAGTGGGAATGCTTTGGAAATACAATATTTAGGGTGATGTTGACTACAGGCTACCTGTAGATTGCCCTTATTATGTTGAGATATATCCCATGTATCCCTTGTCTCACCAGGACTTTTATCATGAATGGACGTTGGATTTTGGCAGGAGTATTCCTTGGTTCATTTGGACTGTTATAACAAAGTACTGAAGACTAGCTAACATAAATAATAATTTTTTTCACAGTTCTGTTGTTGAGAAATCCAAGATGAAGGTGCTATAAGATTGGTAGCTTTTGAGGTTCTATCTCCACATCCAAAATGGCGCATGCCTTGAAGACCATTTCCTTACATGGTGGAAAGAACGGAAGGCTAAGAGACTGATCTGGGCCTCTCATTTGTCTTGGAGGTTCCCCCAAACTACCCACATCCCTAGTGATTCACTCGAAGGTCTCATGAGATTCAACATATATTTGTGATCAAAGTCTGGATATATTACATCAAAACTGTATAGAACAGGATTGGTAGGGAATGAAGATACAGAGACATCTAGATCAGTCCATTTGAGGGCTTCTGAGGCTCTCTACCCTACCATTAAAACATGCAGTAATGTATCTACAGTCACCAACTGACTGAAGTCCCAATGTGGTATTTCAGTGTTAACTGTGGTACACGACCAGTAAAAAACACCATACTTCCTATTTTGAATTTTGATCCTTTCCTGGCCTTTACTATATCAAGCAATAATCTGGTGATGCTGGGCAATAACATTGAGCCACAGCTTCCAATCAGCCTTGGGATCACAGAGGCAAATAAAAGGTACTCTACCATGTACTGCATAGCTAAGCCCTGATGTTCAATAGACTAAGTGTGGTTTGTTTTTGTTTTTGTTTTTGTTTTCTTTAGAATATTTGAACTTATACTGTGCTTTTGGGGATGTATCTCCATTATAAGCTGAAGAGGATCTATACATAAAATATTTTCAAAGCCCCAGGAAACCTATTACAGGACAACACCCAAGGTTTATATTAGGACTAGTGACATGGACACCCTTTGCCTGAAAATACCCAAAATTTCAGGTTATGGGAATATTAACAGTAGGCGTTTGCTGTATATTCCCAGAAGATTGTGTGCTCTGTTTCTTATTTTATTTTTCTTTGGTGATGTTATTTCCCTTAACAGGAAGATTGTCCACAGTTTGAGGAAGAACCATGGATTTCAAGAGTGTGAAGGAGTACTTTGCTTGGCTCTACTATCAGTATCAAATCATCAGCTGCTGTGCCGTCCTGGAGCCCTGGGAACAGTCTATGTTCAATACCATCTTACTGACCATTGTTGCTATGGTAGTGTACACTGCCTATGTCTTCATCCCCATCCACATCCGCCTGGCTTGGGAATTTTTCTCCAAAATATGTGGCTATCACAGTTCAGTTTCTAACTGACCTCATCGGAATTCTGTGAAATGGCATGATGTGTTGATGTTGCTAACAACTTGTTGACTTGGGGACCGCATCATCTTTCACCTCTGACCTGACCAGCACTCTTTCTATGCACTGGCATCCTGCCTGGAGTCTGAGCCAGGTGTCCTCCCAGCCGCTTTTGTCCAGGCAGCATTGTGTGTCTCTGACAACAGAAAATGCCGTGACTTTACCCTGTATCCCACATTCGCTCAACTCAACTCCATGGCTTTAGATTTCTTTTGAAATCAGGATGCTTTCAAATAAAATTTTTCTGGAAAATAGGCGTATAAGAAACCCAACAGTCATATTTAAAATACTCTCTTCATATTATTCTATATTAAAGGCTATGTTACAAAAAGTATTCTTCATAGGCTACTGTCAAAAGTACCCTGCTCTTGTTTACAACCTATTAAAAGATGTGAATAAAATAAACAAACCTTTAAAGTATTTTTTTTCTGGTGAATAACTAGTACCTAAAATTCTTTTCTTCTTTTTTAAATTTTCATTCTCTTTGTTTTACCTAAAATTCTTTTACTTCAAATGCAGAAGAATAGGTCAGAGACAATTATTTTCTTCTAGATATGGTTCAGGCATTGTTTCAAATGCCTCTGAAGTCTGTTTTTTATCATAGCTTTAAATGAATTATGGTCTTAAATAAACAAGTAAATATTGTACTAGAGAACAATTTAAGTTTCAAAAATAAATATAATCAAGGCAAATTCCAATCTTGTGACTTTTGACCATGCCCTGCCTCGAATGACGTAAGAGAAGAGAAACAGTTGTTTTCCTGTACCTTCACTAGGTGGAAGGAAAGCCGCATGTCCTGGGCTACAGGAAGAAGCTAATAAATAGACTGGAAGTAATAGTCTACCAGCAGGAAGTCGACAGCTCCAGTTAAACGCTTTGATATAGTGGCTCCTTTGCACAGCAGAAACAAGATTTATTAAATTTCTCTCAAAATGTTTATCTTCAAAGCAAATGTAAGATTTTAATTATAGTGCTGAGCCAAACATGAAAGCTGAAGACTGAGCCTTGCACCTTTTCTTTCCCCCCATAAATATTACCGTTAGTAATTCTGAAAGGTAAAAAATAAACAGGTTTTGGACAACACTGGCACCTTTGTTTTAGGGGGGAAATATTCCAAGGAAAGCTAAAAAGCAAGATATCTGGCATGCAAAATCAACTTGTACATCTGTTTAAAAATAAAACAAAGAATACATTTTGAAGAGAGACCAGATATGAATATATGCTTGTTGATTTTTGCAAAATAAAGTTAAGTTTACTTTGATTAAAAAAAACAAATGCCCAGTTTGAACTTGCCTTCCCTTTCTTCACGATACACTTATATTGCACTCCTCAGATGACCTCTACTAATCTGACATGAAACTGATCTCAAATGGTAGAATAAAGCTAACATTGCCAAGTTGCTGGTTCCTTTTCTTATTGCTGTGATTGAACACTTGAAGGAGCAGCTGCGGGAAGGAAGGGTCTCGCCGGGCTCACTGTTGGAGGTACAGCACTTGGTGGTGGAGAAGGCAGGAACCTGAGGCAGAACTGCTTGAACTGCAGCCACAGCCAAGAAGCAGAGAGCAATGAGTGCTGGTGCTCAGCCTGAGTGCTGGTGCTCAGTCTGTTTTCTACTTTTTATTCAGTCCAAGACCTTAGTCCAAGAAATCAAGGTGGGCCTTTCAACTTTGGTTAAACCTTTCTAGAAGCATCCTCATAGACAAACCCAGATATGTTTCCATTGTGATTCTAAATCAAATTAAGTTGACAATTGAAGATCAACCCTCATACTAAGGAACTTCTCAACGCCTGATATGCCTTTAACAGGTTACATGACTTCAGTTACATGCTGAATCCGTATCCAGGTCTTCTGGTCACAGGAAAGCAGCCTGGAGCTTAGGAAACACAAATTACTTGTTCAAGGTCAGTTAATGACCAGCAGCATCGCAGGGTGAGGACCACACGGACATCCATGGGAGAATGACGTGAGTGATGAGCATCACTGACACGTTAGAAAGCAATCGTCCACCATGTGAGAAAAGCGACAGCGTGAAGAGTTTGGAGTCCCAGCCGCCACCTTTGCTGCTGTGGTTGGGGGGCCCCGTTCACCCAGCTCCCTTGCCGTCTTGGAAAGATTGCTTTCACTTTTAGTTAACAGTTAAGGATGGATGGACTTGAATGCATTCCCAGTTCACAGTGATTCAGCACCCTTCTGTAGGTGGCTTCCTGCTCAGTACTTTTAGAATTCAGTCAAAAAGATACTGCTTTGACCTTCAAATCTACCTTCTAAAAATAAGAGTTAAAATAGATGCCAATAGACAGGGGAGAAGTTAATAAGGGATCATTACAAAACACCGTCCTGGGATGGCACATCCAAGGCAACCATTGAACAATTGAAGATAGCCAATACAGGGTCCAAAAAGTATACTCATACAGGTTTCTGGTTTTTTTCTTTGTTTCAAAGCTAGGGGTGTGTGGTGGGGGAGAAAGCCGCACCTGCCTGCTGCTGCTGCTCCAGACTTGGTGGAGCTGGTTTTTAGCTCTGACCACAGTCAGCCTGGACTGGGAACAGTCAGCCTGGACTGGGAACAGCGTGCTCTCCCTTTTCTTTTCTTCCACTCTATAGATGTTGCAATGGTAGGCTTACAGCTTAAAACAAGAAAACCCAAAGAGTCTAAGGTTCCAGAGGACTAGTATTTGTCACTCATGAAACTAGGACTCATAAGATGTTCTTTCCTCAGTATTGGCCAAGGCAATAAATAAATAAATACCCAAACCTGTTTTACCTACTTGTATAACAACAACACAAACCCGCAACACACAAAATGCCAAGAAACCAGACAGTTGCAATATAACATCATTGATTAGTCTACATTACATGTAAAACATAAATAAATGGCTAACACATTCTCTACATGTTCCTTTTCTGTTGCTAACTCATCTGGGTCCTGTAACTAGTGAACTCCTAGAGGACGATCACCTTGTTTCTGAACGCCAGGTGGTTGGTACAGGGATTAGCAGGTGCCCACCACAGAGAGCAGTAGTCAGCTCCCCAAACTCCATACAAGGAAGCTCATCCTGTGTATCAGGCACCTCCCCATGAACAGCTTCCGATTATGGACCTAAATAACCTCCATTCACACGACAGATTCATTAAAAGTTAACCAGGCATCGATGCACAGATAAAAGGAGTTGGGAGACACATAAATAGCCCGATGAAAAAAATGATAACAGACAAGGTGACACACACCCGGTGTTCATTGTGAAATCCTCTTATCTTCGAATATTTGAAAAAAGTTTAGCCTACTGTATGCCAGCTGTTGAATTTGATAAGAAAAAAAAAACCAATGAGACAAAAATTGAAATTGTCAGCAAACACACACACACACACACACGCACGCACGCACGCACGCACGCACGCACGCACGCACGCACAATGCCGCAGCTCTCAGCAGAAAGGGAATGAAAAATAGCTTATCCTGCAACCAAGTTTGGGTGACCATGGCCTGGAAAAGCACAGATTTAGGTCACCCCACTTCTGTGTCTTCCAAAGTGGAAGTGGTCTTATAATAGGAGAACAAAGGAAGTCATAAATCAAAGCGATGTGAAAACGCACTGAGGAGGAGGGCATGAGAAAAGCCGGGCAGATGAGCCGCAGACATTACCTGATAGTATTCTTAGCCCTTTACTTATTGGAGAATATGGTTTTAAGATAATACATTGTGAGGGTTTTATAATCTGTTTATCTGGATGTTAGGTCTGGCTTAGAGGTGGTGTTGCTAGAGTTTTCCTGCCTGGCCCACAGTCAGGACAAATCTCTCTCACCCGCCAGTCCCAAGCCGCTCAAACTCGATCAAGTAAACAGAGAGACTTATATTGGTTACAAACTGTATGGCTGTGGCAGGCTTCTTGCTAACTGTTCTTACAGCTTAAATTAATCCATTTCTATTAATCTATACCTTGCCACGTGGCTTGTGGCTTACCGGTACTTTACATCTTCCTTATCCTGATGGCGGCTGGCAGTGTCTCTCTCACTCAGCCTTCCACTTCCCCGCTCTATTCTCCTCCTTGTCCCGCCTATACTTCCTGCCTGGCCACTGCCAATCAGTGATTTATTCATTGACCAATCAGCAACACATTTGACATATAGACCATCCCACATCAGGTGGCCAAGGAATGGCTATTTGGTAGGCTGAATACCACTCAAGATAAACAGCAAGTGGGCTCTGAAATAACAGCATTCCAACCTCCCCACAGTCGTTAATGTTTTAGTGGGCCCATTCGCCTCTGTGCACACAGCTCCTTTTCAGGAATTTTGCTTTTCTCATAAAATAAAATTTAAAAAAATCTCTGAATTTATGCACAAATAAGTTTGATGGTTGGCAAGATACAAAACAAACAAAAATATTTAATAAATATCTAACAAATGTCACAAATTTTGATCAGAGCTCATGAAAAACCAGCAGGGTTCTGAGGAGGAAGCAGCAGGAAGTTGGAGATGGACAGAACACGGGGTGAAGGCAGCCAGCGCATCTCTTGTGACTCCATGAGACTCGGAACCAGGCACCAATGCCAGTGCGGGAGGACCGTGAGGACAGACTTAACAAAAGACAGCGGGAGCGGTGGGGGCTGATGGGTCGGAGCAGCACAACACACAACCCTTGAAGATGGGGGCTGGATGGAGGTGGTGGCCCGAGTCAGAACAGCAGGTGGTCTGAGACGTTGTACAAACGAAGCTACCAAGTTGAGGCAGCTCGCTGACCCAATGACTCCATTAAATATTACCTCCCCCCACCCCTGTAGTGGTTTGAAAAAAAACGGCCCCCAAAGGAAGTGGCACTCTTAGGAGGTGTGGCCTTGTTGGAGGAAGTATGTCACTGTGGGGGCGGGCTTTGAGATCTCTTTTTGCTCAAGTTTCCCTCGTTGTGACAGTTAGTTGACTCCCTGTTGCCCCAGTAAGATGGAGCACTCTCAGCTCCAGCAGCACATCTGCCTGCACACTGCCATTGTGATGATAATGGACTGAACCTCTGAAACTGTGAGCCACCCCAACTAATGTATGTATCATCAAGGCACAGTGTCACAGGCCTGTAATCCCAGTCCTTAGGAAATGGAAGCAGGGATTGCAGAGATAGCTCAGTGGTTATAGATGACAGACATGCATACAGGAAAAATACCAATACCCATAAAATAATTTTTAAAAGTTTTAAAGAGAAGGAAGCAGGAGGATTGAGGGCCTGAGGATGCAAAGCAAGATCCTTATTATTACAAAATAAAATTATAAATAAAAGACTGTAGTTTTGTCTTTAATTATAAGATATTCTAAAGCACAAACAAAAAGTAAAACTTCTAGCCCAACCGAAGGAAAATTCTTCTTCATTCTGGGAAGTTACTTCTAGAGCTGGCTGTGAAAAGAGAATAGGATCTTTTCTAAAGATGGAAGGTGGGGGGAGAGGGGAATGAGACTTTTCTTCCTACTTTTTTAGTTTTTAAAGCTTTGTCTGGTTAGAAGAAAAGATGCAGATTTTGCATCATGAAATGGAGTCATTGTCTAGGCGCTGTGCATTATCAAACTGACTAACAGATCAATAGCACTAGAGCCCCTAAGATAGCCTGACGACTTGAGGTCCATCCCTGCAGACCGCAGAGTAGAAGAAGACAACCAGCTCCCACAAACTGTCCCTGGCTGCTGCACAAGTGGGTGCATGTGCACACATGCAAGGGAGCGTGAAAAGAATCATGTTCGCACTCCACGGAGAATTGAACAGTCTGGAAGATCAGCTGTCAGGGCCTCCTTAGACCCCTCCCTGCTTCACTGGGCAGATGATACTGGAAGCATCCACTGGGAGACAGTTTTGTGGTGGGCCGGCAGGCAGGCATGGCCACCCACTCTCTAATTCCAATCATTGCTCAGAAATAACCAGAAAACAGGAAGCAGGCTCTCCCCTTACTGCAATGGCAAAGCTTATTTCCAGAGCTTTCTTGGGAGCCTTTGTATGCAATCCAGATGTATCCCATTGACAATAATCACATTTCTAGCCCCCTTTATGTGGATTCAGAATTCAGATTGCTTGTTTCAACATTACATTTCAGCATCTTGCTAATAGAAAGTGATAACTGGGCCGACACTTTGACCCAGGACTCTGAAGGAGCATTAACGTAGACTACAAAGTAGGACCAGACATGTTCCATCCCTCCACCGCCCCTCCCCATCGTCCCACACACACACACACTCAGTCTGGAATACCCAACCACACCTGAGGCAGGTAAATTTCCCAGATACCATGATCCTGAGGGTTAGGGAATGTAACTGCTGGAAAGAGCTACGTGTCACAGCGTGCTCACGTGTCCCATGCATGCATCCTTGTTCAAATGGCTTAGACTCTGAGTAAGGGGCCTTGGGGAGGAGAGAAGATGGGC